ATAGCTTTAATAGCTTGATGTTACTTCCCAAGAAATTGCTCAATTATAAGTGCTCCGACATTAACTTCAGAGCACATAGCAAAACTCATTAATCACTACACCAAATGGAACCACAATGTTTGAAAGTTCAATTTTACCATACTTAAGAGGTTTAAAAATCTCCCCACTCAATAGTAACTGATTTTTTTATGAATGATCCTGCAAAACCCATAATCATCAACCAAGCAAGATACCAAAGTTAACTCAAACAATAATAAGAAAAAAATATTATTATTGAAAAAGCTAAATAGGTAGCTACAATGAAACAAACACTGAAAGAGGAAATAAGAACACGACACAAACTCACAATAGGGTTCGATTCTTGGGTGGTGTAGGTCAGCTAGGTGGTCTGAAAGTGGTGGTAGGTAGATGAGGAGCGACAATGAGTAGGAGTGGCTGGGAAAGGCTGTGGATTGCTGGAAATAGCAGCGTGGAGGGCAGGATAGTAGGTTGCCAGCGCGGGTGGGTGGGTGAATGTGGCAACAAGTGAAACAATACAAAAATAGTCTGGAAGTGTTGTTCGATGGCTACGACTGGGAGGAATGTGTGGCAGTGAAGCGAGAAGAATGCGGAAGTGTTGGGGAAGAATAAATACCACCACGGGAGCGAGATATAGTCGAAGCACCACTTGACCCTTGGGAGATAATCATCACATTATAGCGAGATACAATCAAAGCACCACTCATCCTTGAATACAATTCTAGAAAGAATGATTTGGAGACACTGACGATTGCCCTGACAAAAAACACACAAAAACTAAGCCTAGACTCCAACAAATGCAAATATATAATAATAGGATAACTAGAAATAGCACAGAAGGACCGACTGACTCCTCAGAAGAAAGAAAAAAGTGGACCGCACAAAAGCGGCACGCTGCTTCCGTCATGGGAATTCCCACGTCCGCTTCGTAAGTCGGAGACACCCACATCAAAGCATATAAATTTTAAGAGGTGGCTCCCACCAAAGCACTTTATCCAAAATAAATTTCAAAAGATAGTTCCTATATCGTAGCACTTTATCCAACATGATACTTAATTTCATCTTCCAGCTAGTGCCGCTCTAAAACCATTTGTCACGACTCAAAACTCTTAACAATCAATAAATTATTCACTTTGATAAAAAAAAAAACCTTACAATTTTGCCCCTTGGAACAATGTCACAATAGCTTACCTTTAAAGTTCTCCAATATAGGCACACTTAAATTTCGAGTACATTACTAAACTCCAATGATTACACTAAAAAAGCACAATGATTTTTAAGCTTTGCTATATTTAAAGGATCCCACAATTAAACAAGAACAACAACAAGCCTTTATCCAACTAAGTGGGTCAGCTACACAAATCCTTTGTTCTCCACTATGTTCTATTGAGTGCCGTATTTTGATTAAATTTTAATAAATTAAGATCATTTTTTTAGACAACTTGTCGAAGTCTTTTTAGACTACCTCTATCTTTTTTAACATAAGTCAAAACTAAAACATATACTTTCCTAACTGGTTCATTTGATGGTCAACGTTTAATGTGACCAAACTATCAAACATGACTCTCTCTAGCCTTATCTGCCACTAGAGCTACAACAACCCGTTCATTGATATTCATTTCGCATTTTATCACCAAGTGTAAAACCACTCATCCACCTCATCTCTGCAACACTTAGTATTATGCTTCTCTTTTATAGACCAACATTCAACGACATAAAACATTGCAGGTCTCACTACCATCTTATAAAATTTTCCTTTCAAGTCTAAGCGATACTTTTCTATCACATAATAGGCTTGATCCATACCTCCACTTCAACCATCCAGCTTGAATTTTACCAAAAACATCCCCATCTATGTCACCATCACTTTGAGCAATAGACCTGAGATATCAAAAACATTCATTATTACAACACCACTAAATATACTACTACTAAAATTACATTCCATGTATTCTGATTTAGATCTACTCAAACAAAGGTCTTTAGACTATAAAGTAAAACTCCATAATTTAAGTTTTTCTTGAACTTTTTCTCTAATCCTATCCACGAGAAGGATATCATTAGAAAAAAGCATACACTAAGGTACATCCTCTTATAAATGTCTAGTAAGAGCATCCATAACTAAAGAAAAAAAAGCTATGGGCTTAAAGCCAATCCCTGATGTAATCCAACTCAAATAGAAAAATATTTGGTCAGTCCTCCTATTTGAACACAAGTAACAGCTCTAGTATACATATATTTAATACACTAACAACAACAACAAAGCTTTAATCCTATTACGTTGGGTCATATATTTAATAACCTGAATAAAATTCATATCAACACCTTTCTTTCTAGAACTCTCCAAAGAACTTCTCTTGGAACCTTATAATTCTAAATCAATCAAAATCATATGTAGATCCTCCTTACTCTCGTTGTACTTCTTCATCAAATTTCTCAATAAATGTATAGCTTCCATAGTAAACTTGATCGGCACAGGTCCAATTTGATTATGAGAAAGCTTTGTTTCACAACTTAACTTATGTCCAAGTACTCTCACCCATAATTTTAATGCACATTAACTTAATTCCTCTATAATTTGCAAACTCTTGTGCATCCCCTTTATTCTTAAAAATGAAGAGCAAAATATTATTTCTCCACTGCTGCATTTTTTTACTTTTTAAAATAATATTAAAAAGTTCAGTAAGCCAAGAAATTCCCAATCTCCTAAATATTTTCACACTGCTATTAAGATAACATTATATCCTATTGATTTTTCACCTTTGATTTTCTCTAAAGTCTCTTTAACTTCCCTCTATTAATACAAAGGTAAAAATAAAAAGTTTTATTATTATTAACGATATTAAGATTACTAAAGTCCATTATATTTTCAAAAACATCATTAAAAAGTTTACCAAAATAGCTCACCCATCTATGTTGAATATCTTCATCTATAAAAATCACTTTTTGATTTTCATCTTTAATACACTTTACTTGAATTAAATCTTTAATTTTCTTTTCTTTTTGTTTGGCAAGTTTATGCACATATCATTCACACTGTTTAGTATCTAATATATTATAAAGGTCACTAAAAACAGAATTCTTAGCATAAAAAATTATTCTCTTAGATTTTCTACGAGCCACCTTATATTTTTCTCAATTCTATAAGCTTTTACATTTAAATCAACTTTTAAAACAAAAATTTTTTTATTTCATTATCATTCCATCACTAACTATTTTTATTTACAAAAGTTTTTCCTTTTGATTCTCCAGATACATCTTTTGCCACATTTAATAGTGTTTGTTACTTTATCCCACATGAATATTAGCTTCTTCATGGCCATCCTAAATATTAAGATATTGAAATATACTCATAAAAATAATTGTATATATCTTTTAAGTGATCTTATCTATTTCTATGATAATATTTCATCGTATTTTTTATCTTTCAACCCTTTATCTTAAAATCCAAAACTAATAATCGATGTTGAGTACTTAAAGTACTTAAATTTTTATTTGAATTTTTATTTGAAATGACCTTACAATCTTTACATTCTTGACGATCTCTTTTTCTCAGAATAAAATAATAATTTGTGTTTTATTAGATTTATTCTTATAATTAATAATATGCTCACCTCTTTTCTTAAATAAAGTACTAGCAATAACAAAATCATAAGCTAAAATAAAATCCAATATGGGTTTACCTTCTTCATTAATCACTCCAAAATCGTAGTGCCACCATGAATATTTCTAAATCTCTACCTCTACCAACATGTTCATTTAAATCTCCTCCAATATAAATTATTTCTTAAAGATGTATAATTTGTATTATTATTTTATGCCATTCCAAAATTTTTCTTTTAAACATATATCTAAACCAACATGAGGAGCATAAACATTTGTAACATTAAGCATCATAGTATCAACAATAAATTTTAAGGCTATAATTCTATCTCAAATTCTATTAATTTTTATAATATTATCTTTCAAACTCATATATATTATTACACCTTTATAATTTCTAGTTGACTCCTACCTAAATACTAAATTTTAAAACCTAAGAAATCCACAATTAAAAAAAAGAAAAAAATTGAAGCTTTTTCTAATTTAAGCATGCTCATGCTGTAGAACTCAAAGGATGCGAGATTTTAGAGAAGTTGCATTAGGATATAATTATGAGATTTGTCAAGTTAAAATAGATAAAATGCTGATGGATAAGAGTTTAGGACATTACAACGACCAGCTTACATCATAGTTTTCTCTTGAGATAATAATCGAAGCATTGTATGAATGTAAAAGCATGCTTTGCAGCCTTAGAGTGCATGCTTCACACCACCCAAAATGAGTTAAGTGCAGTCTCTGTAATAAATCATTTTTTTTCCTTTCACCTCATTTGGTTAACTCTTAGCTTCGAGTATTTCCCTTGATTCTTTATATTATATATCTTTATTGGTCCTAGCATTCCTCTAACAATTGTGTAGTATACTTTTTTGTCAAGTTTTAATAGTCCAAGATGTAGCTTTGTTTTACATTCATCTTACAATCGTTTCTATTGTAAATTTGTACTTGAGGAAATTGGATGCTTACGATAAAAGATTTAGTTTTTTAATCAGTCCCATTATAAGTATTCAAAATTTTCTTTTATTGTATTTTTGCTTTTATTAATTTCTTGGGCAGATTAAACTGGATGCCTCATTGTCAATTAGTGTATTCTTACATACCATACGATGCTAGTGCTTCATTCTCAAGTATCGCTATAAACTTTTAGATAACACTTAGTTTACATATTACTAGACACCTATTTAACACAATAATATGCTGTGCTATTATTCAAGGAAATCCATTGAGATTATTCCACTGCTGATAATTCTAAAAAGAAATAAAAGAAAATAACATAAAAATCATTGTTAACTACCAAAAAAGGAATGCCATATTGGAGCAAGAACAATTTATTAACTCAAATGAAAACGAAAGTTACACTAGAGAGAAAAAATAAAGCATACCCTCTTTCCAACAAGTTCTCCATTATTTTAACAGCCACATCAATGGGAACTGCAAAGCTCACTCCATCTGCATTCAATACTTTCAAAATATTTATTCCTACAACCTCACCATCAAGATTTACAAGAGGCCCGCCAGAGTTGCCCTGCATGCTCAATAAACATGGCAAAATAAACGTTGTCCCAATGGTTTGAACAAGAAAGCAAAAAATGATTATAAAGATAGTAATACTAAAACTTCAAAAATAAAAAAAGCATTCCAAAACAAACATTAGCCTAAATTCTTTGAACAAAAAAGCTAGAGATGACTAGAAAGACGGTTATACTACTACAACTTGACATATAAAAAGGTACTTTATGGTTAACATTAGATCGAGCAGTTCAAAACTAAGTAGGAATTTAGTTGCAGACAAAGTCTTGCAATTGTGACCATGATCGTGAAAAAATGACTTGAGAACAATGTAATAAATGTTATTGCAAACTTAAAGTCGTTTTGAAGCATAAATGTTACTTTTAATATTCATTTCGGGCAATCATGCCCTAACAAATGTAGAAAAGCACAAACACCTCATGATCCAGCAAGCAAACATGAAAGCATAACAAGTATGAAATCTAAAACAATAAGAAACTAAAATGATACCTACAAGAAATATATGAACGCATGAAATGCATTTGAATTTTATTTCAATTCCCATAAAACAAAGCTTGATAACTCATAAAGACTTGCACATAACATAAAGCCCAAATGATTAAAAAAATGCTTTTAGTTATTATTTTATTGGAATTAAACTTGAGAACTTCGATAAAAATCATATTTCATCTTAAAACATACATCAATCTAGCTATTTAACTCAACTGAAGACATCAATACATAAAAAATGACAGCATTGTATGGTGCATCCACTTAAATGAATATTTTAACTGAGAAATCAATATATAAGGTGCATATATAGCAATAATCTGTAGGAAAAACCTATCTTTGCAGACCTTCATGTGTCTTCCATCTCTCCTACAACACAAGTATCAACCCTTCTAAGCATTGCTGCTAATTTTCCATTTGCCATGTCCTTTGTCATGGACATGGAAAACTCATGTACAAAAGAACCTGACATGTTTCGTCTGCAATCCCCTTGCTACAAGTGTTAGCAAATGGATGGTAGGGATTAGAGTATAAAGTACCCTTTGTTCTTTTTTTTTTCTGTTTTTTTTTATTGTACCTTGTCTAACCTTCTTCTATTTCTTCTTTTTTTTGTCCCTATTGTAAGAATCACATTTTGAAGTCATTGTATATAAACTTTGGCCCTTTTGTTACATAATGACAGCTCCACTGAATGAAGAAGTTCATAAGAATTTTATTTGATATATATTCAATAAATTAAAATTTTGTCCGAAGAAATCTAGTCGTTAATTAATAAACAACTATAGCATACCACCATTTCAGCACATGGAGCAGCCACTGTCTTCAGCAGTGCATCACTGAATGAAGAAGTTCATAAGAAAGCTCCACTGAAAGAAGAAGTTCATAAGAATTCTAGTCATAAATTAATAAACCACTATAGCATGCCATCATTTCAGCACATAGAGCAGCCACTGTCTTCAGCAGTGCATCACAGTCATCAACCTGTAATAATCAACTTCATCTACACCATCCAATCCTACTTCATGTTTTACCTCCACCTATATATACAGCCCCACTGTTGCTGAGTACATACTCTACAATTCGTATTACTCCACTGCTGTAAAAGGCTTCTATTATTATATTTTGCAACATAGCTTTCACGATTATGGGTTGTCTCCTAGTTCTAATTCATTGAAAGCCTAGTGATGCGATAGAGGCAGGCAACTCAATCAAACACTATTCTCACCATACCTTCAGGACTAAACAAGTGACAAATTAGTCTAAGTCAATAATCACAGACAATCAGAATACATTTCAATTCATATTTCATGCACATTCTCATATACTTAGAAGCATGTAAAATCATCTCCAAAATATATTCAAAACCACTAAATCAAACATAATAAAGAAACATACCCAAAAGTCTTTACATCTTCCAAAACTATAAAATCCAAAAGTTGTACATCACACTTGGCAACTTGCCATGGTATTCCTTACATCTTCTTGAAAGTGAGCTAAAACAAGATTGACAAAATAAACAAAGTTAAAGTAAGATTTTATAAATAAATAAAATAATGTGAATGTGAAACCGTAGCTCGTATGCATGGCAACACATCAAATAAACATGTTTTAATCATAATAAACAGTCAAGGTGAAGGGACATGACATGTAGTAAACAGTAACAACCGCATCAAGTATGTATTTCATTCATTCATGTGCTATCATAATCATATCCATAAGTATTTCATAGTCACATAATGTCATCTTAGTTATGTCACTTTTAATTGCATAGGTTTTGACTACATTCATATCATTTCTTGTCATTGGGTCATCACTTAGCTCGAAGACTGAATTAACTATTGATAAATGTTAGATCCCTTCAAACATAGTTGTTATCAATAGCCCCTCTGATACCAATAATTCCCGGATTTTTATTCCTATCTGATACCAATGGTTCTCTGATTTTTATCCCCGTCTTAATATCAGAAGTCAAAAATCTCATCATTCCCTATCATTCGTACTTGCAAACATTCATGTAATAGTCTATCTATTATAACACTCACGACATTCCTGCGATCATAATTCCTGTAATAAACATTCATAATAGGCAAATCATAAATCACATGATAGAAATGCAATGCAATGAAACATGTCATAAGTGTGCCCAACATATCAATGACATCATAAAATCATAAATATTGCAATGTCAGTTCAAGCTAACACATATGTAATCATGTGTAGATATTCAACAATATGCAAAAAATTTTAAATGCACTCATATGTCAAAAGAAATGTATTGAAATCTTAAAGAAAGTTAATATTTTTAATTTAGCGCGGGATTATTTCATCTGAATAGACAGAGCAGTCCAACGATGTGTTTCCTCATGCTCACCTCCAGCTCTCCTCCTAGAAAAAATTAACTGGAATCATATAGCTCTTAGGACTACAAGAAATTCTAGCTTAAATCTTAATTTTAACCCCTAACATTATTTACTTCCCACAACTTCCCTCAAAAGAGTTTCCTTGCATAAATTCTCCCTAAAGAGTTTTTTTTTTTCTTCCTCCTCTCTAACCTTACTTTCCTCCTTTGCTTCGCTGGTTACCAACTAATAGCCCTATTGAGAGCCAAAAATCAAAGTTTGCATCTTCCGACACTATTTTGCCTCCCATTACAGTGACAGGGAACAAAAAAGTGCTTTAACTCGTGGCAAATCGCAGAAAAATATCATAAGGAATGAAAGAAATGTCTCAAATATCCTAAAAAAGAGTTCCTACATATTGATTTCTCCCGGATCTCCAAATTGCGAGTTTCGGCACCCTGTCGATCGCCTGAAACATGACTGCTACAGGACCGAGCATAGGTCTTGCGGAAAAAGAAAATTCGAGAGAGGGAAATGAACGGGAGTGCAACATTCATTTCAATCCCATTAAATCCTAGCCATTCGATAAGACCAAATAGTTGCAAGCTAACTAAAATGTAGGAGAGTCAGCTAACTACAATGACGGGATAAGGAAAGGTTAATAAGTTGATTAGAAATTTAAATAAGTTTTAACTAAACTTTTATTTCATATTTTTATATCTTCCAAAACACATCCAATTCATGCATTCTATTATATATCAAATTACAATAACAACAACAATAACAAGTTTTTATTTGACCAAGTGGGGCTAGCTACATGAATCCTTCTTCTACATTGCGTCCTATTAAGTGTAATATTTTCATTTAATTCTAACAGATTATGATCATTTTTTATACAATATGCCCAAGTCTTTTTAAGTCTACATCTACCTTTCTTAACATAAGTGAAATCTAAAACATCAGCTCTCCTAACAGAATCATCAGATGGTCGACGCTTAAAGTGATAAAATTATATTAGACAACTCTCTCTAATCTTGTTCGCAACTAGAGCTACACAAACCCTATCATATCATGGATATATTCATTTCGCATTTTGTCTCTAAGTGCAAAGCCACTCATCGACCTAGGCATTCTCATCTTAGCACACTTAACTTTATTTTATGCTTCTCTTTTAAAGGCCAACATTTTGCGCCATAGAGCATTGCAGGTCTCACAACTATCTTATAGAAGTTTCTTTTCAGTTTAAGCGGTAACTTTATATCACACAATAGGCCCTGTGCATTCTTCCACTTCAACAAACCAACTTGAATTATACTAATAACATCCTCATCTATATCACCATCACCAATAGAACCGAGATATCTAAAACGATCACACATTTTAATGATTTGATCACTCATAGTTATAACTCTATCACTAGAGCTACTACTACTAAAATTATATTTCATGATTATATTTAAATTATATTTCATGTATTCAATTTTAGATCTACTCACATGAAGGCCTTTAGACTCCAATGTAGACTTCTATAATTAAAGTTTTTCTTGAACACTTTCTCTAGTCTTATCCATAAGAAAGATATCATAAGCAAGAAGCACACACCACGGTACATCCTCCTGTAAATGTCTAGTAGAGCATCCATAACTAAAGCAAAACGATATGGGCTTAAAGCCGATCATTGTTGTAATCCAACTGAAATAGAAAAATACTTAGTCAATCCTCCTTTCGTTCTAACACAAATAACAACTCGAATATACATATCTTTAATGACTTGAATATAAGTTATATCAACACATTTCTTCTCTAAAATTATCCAAAAAACTTCTCTTGGAACTTTATCGTAAGGTTTTTCTAAATCAATAAAAATCATATGTAGATCCTCCTTATTCTCTCTATAATTCTCTATCAAACTCTCAATAAATGTATAGCTTTCATAGTAAAGCTACCCGACATTAATCCAAATTGATTATGAGAAATCGTTATATCACATCTTAACCTATGTTCAATTACCCTTTTCCATAATTTTAAAGTATGACACATCAACTTAATTCCTCTATAATTTGCGCACACTTGTGCATCCCTTTTATTCTTAAAAATGGGGACCAAAATACTCTTCCTCCACTCTTCAGGCATATTGTTATTTTTTAAATTATTATTAGAGAATTTA